TCGGTGGTGGCTTAGGACCACAAGATAACTCGCAGCGGACACAGCAGATGGAGGTGGAGGTGGAAAGAGGAGCACGCAAACGGCTTGTTAATGCGGATGGGACTCTCACTATAAGGGGGCAGCCAATATCGAATCTCGCTGGTAGAGTTGCTGGCACGGTCATGAGGCTGGAGGGAGCGACACCAAGTTCAAGCAATAGTGATCCGGTGTCAACACCGGAGAAAAATCCAGTAGTTAAGAGAAGGAAGCAGCAGGGTGAGGAGGGGGAGAACATGGATTTGTCTACAGAGGCGGCCTCCCTCGAGGAGGGCCGCCGGGCCTGATGAGGACCTTATGTTGGAACTGTCGTGAGATTGGCGATCCTGCGACAGTTCATGAGCTCCGCGATCTCGTGGGGGCTAGTGCGCCGTCGGTTCTATGCATTGTGGAGACTCAATTAGCAAAGAACCGAGTGGAGGGGTTGGCGGCTACATTAGGTTTTCAAAGTAGTTTTGCAGTACCTAGTAGTGGACGGAGTGGAGGTTTATGTATTTTTTGGAAGTCTGATGTTAATCTAGCAATAAAGAACTTTTCTCAATATCATATTGATTCATGGGTAATGGAACCAGGCAATGTTCATTGGCGCCTTACCTGCTTCTATGGAGAGGCCAATAGAAGCTCAAGATACAAAACATGGGACACGATGAAGAGGTCGAGGGGAGAAAGTACCTTGCCGTGGCTGTGCATAGGAGATTTCAATGAGATACTTCGACAGGAGGAGCAAATGGGTCCTAATCAAAGGGATAGTGCTCAGATGGCCGGGTTCAGAGAGGCAGTAGATCTGTGCGGACTGGCTGACATTGGATACAAGGGGGTGGACTGGATTTTGAGAAGCGAGTAGCGGGAGGCCAGTACTATAGGGTTCGGCTAGACCGGGCCTTGGCCTCGCCGAGCTGGTCGAATGTTTTCCCTTTTGCATCTCTCGAGCACTTAACAGCAGCTAAGAGCGACCACAGCCCCATTCTGCTGATGAATGACTTGGAGGCTGGAAATCTATGCATTGCTAAGAAACCCTTTCGGTACGAGTGTGCATGGGAAACCGATGGACGGTTCAGAGAGGTAGTCGAGACAGCCTGGAATGACAATGGCCCGGCCTCGTCAGTGTCGGAGTTGGCTAACAAACTACACGTTGTTTCAACTTCACTGTCAAGGTGGGGAAGAAGCACCTTTGGCTCGGTTCGACAGGAGTTACGCTTGCTACGCAGTCAACTTGCTGCTCTACGTGCTGATCCGTTGAGGACAGGGCCATGCGAGGAGGAAAGAAGAATTGAGGACCGCATGGTTGAGCTAGCCTATAGGGAGGAGATTATGGCGAGCCAACGGTCACGTATTACATGGTTGTCCGAGGGAGACAGCAATACACAATTTTTGAGAGGAAAGCGAATGCCCGACGAGCTAAAAACAGAATTGTACAGTTAAACCGTGAAGATGGGTCGGCTTGCACAGACCCAGAGGAACTTTCACACATGGCAACAGAGTTTTACTCCAATCTATATACATTTGAAGGAACTATAGGCATAGAAGAAGTGTTATCCCATATCCCACCGAGGGTGGATGGCAATATGAATGGTCGACTCAACGAGAGGTACTCCAATGAGGAGGTAAAAGCTGCCTTGTTTCAAATGTTCCCGATGAAGGCGCCGGGACCCGATGGTTTTCCGGCGCATTTCTTTCAGAAACATTGGGAGTTGTGTGGAGATGAGGTCACACGGATGATCATAAGATTGCTTGATGGAGTCGATTCACCGGAGGAGATAAATAATACATTCATTGTATTAATTCCCAAGATAGCCAGTCCAAAAGTTTTAGGACAATTTCGACCGATAAGTCTTTGTAATGTGATCTACAAGATCGCATCAAAGGTCTTGGCAAACAGGTTGAAATCCATTCTTCCCGATATCATTTCCCAAGAGCAGTCGGCGTTCGTTCCTGGACGCCTCATTACGGACAATTTCATTACAGCTTATGAATGCCTACACTACATGAAGACCAGAAGGGTGAAAGGAAATAGATATTGTGCTCTCAAACTGGATATGATGAAGGCATATGATCGCTTGGAATGGTCGTATCTAAGATCAGTTATGATTAAGATGGGGTTCAGCCCGCGGTTCACCGAGACAGTCATGAGGTTTGTCACTTCAGTTTCATTTTCAGTCTTATTCAATGGTGGTAGTTTGGATGCTTTCAGGCCATCGTGGGGTTTAAGGCAAGGAGACCCAATCTCGCCATATTTGTTCTTGCTCGCAGCTGAAGGGCTATCATGCATGTTAAAGGCCCAAGGAGGAATTAGGGGGATCTGCGTGGCAGAAAACGCCCCTATGGTAAACCATCTTCTCTTCGCTGACGACAGTCTACTTTTCTTTGAGGCGAATGAGACAGCTGCGGTGCGGGTGGAAGCTCTTTTAAGGACATATTGCAACGCATCGGGACAGAGGATCAATATGGACAAATCGTCCATATTTTTTAGCAAAGGGGTAGATGATGCTTCTCGTGCTTCCATCATGAATATCCTTGCTGTCCACAATGAATCGTTGTCGGAGAAATACTTGGGCTTGCCTACGGATGTGGGTAGGGCGAAGGAAGGGTCGTTCAAATACCTCAAGGACAGAATTTGGAACAAGGTTCAAGGTTGGATGGAGAAATGCCTTTCAGCAGGAGGGAAGGAAGTGCTTATTAAGTCTGTGGCTCAATCTATACCTACTTACTCAATGTCATGCTTCAAGCTACCAAGAGGCTTATGTGATCACATAAATGGCATGATTCGGAAATTTTGGTGGGGTAGTAAGAACGACCAGAGGAAAGTTGCATGGGTATCATGGAAGACCATGTCGAAACCCAAGTTCATGGGGGGTCTGGGTTTTAGAGATGTTGATCTTTTCAATCTTGCTCTACTCGCACGACAAGCTTGGAGATTGCTGATGGAACCGGAGACGCTAAGTGCGCGCATACTGAAAGCTCGATATTACCCGAACTGTGACTTGCTGGAAGCCACACTTGGCGCTACACCGTCCCAGGTTTGGCGCGCTATCCTCGAAGGCAGGGACGTGTTGGCGCAAGGACTTATTAAGAGAATTGGATCCGGTTTGCACACCAGCATATGGGGCCAGAATTGGTTGCCGAGGGACTTTAAGCTCAGACCAATTTGTGCTCGCTCGACCAACCCACCAGTTTGGGTTTCAGAATTAATTGACCCTATCACTAGGGTGTGGAATAAGCAAACTCTCATGGAGCACTTCATTGCACCTGATGTAGAGGTCATACAGAGTATACCCCTCAGTACACGGACACAAGATGACTTTTGGTCATGGCATTTCGACAAGAGAGGTGTGTTCTCCGTGCGCTCGGCATACAGAATGATCGTAGCGGTCAAAGCCCAAAGGGAGGACTGGTTGGATCATCGACCGGGCCACTCGAATATAGCAGCGGAGAAGAAATCATGGACTCAGCTATGGAAGGTGAAAGTTCCTTCCAAAATCCGTGTCTTCGTGTGGAGATTGGCGCACACCTCGATTCCAACAGGTTCAGTGAGGCATGACAGGAAGATGGCCAACAATGCATCATGCTCTATCTGTGGAGCTGGTGATGATACATGGAGACACTCCCTTCTGAGCTGTCGGATGGCCAGATGCGTATGGGCTTTGGGTGATGAAGAGCTACTTGAACATGTGATATCAAATCAGAGTGAGGATGCGAAGCTTTGGCTGTTTTGGCTGTTTGAAACTACTAATCACCAAGATCTTACCAGGGTTCTCGTCACGATGTGGGCAATTTGGTGGGCTCGCCGGAAAGCTATTTACGAGAACGAGTTCCAAAGTCCGCTATCAACCATGATCTTTATAAAGAGATTTCTGGAGGAGTTGGAGATCGCAACAAGTAATGCACCAAGTGTGCTGCCGGGCCGCCACTTGGTACAGAAGCCACGAGTGTGGTTGCCACCAACAGGAGAAGAAGCAGTAAAGATAAACTGTGACGGAGCCATCTCTACTCTTGGTGAGAAAGGAGCAGCAGCTGTTGTGTGCAGGGACAGATCAGGTAAATATCTAGGGGCATCGGCTGTGGTCTTTGACGGCTTGCTCGACCCGCCAAGCTTAGAGGCGCAAGCGTGAAGCGAGGCCCTTGCCCTTGCACGAGATTTGAATCTGCAGAAACTGGAGATTGCGTCGGATTGTCTAGAGGTGGTAACCAACATCAACAAAGAAGCCTCGCCAGTTTATGCGCCAATATTGCATGAAATCAATCTTTCCAAGAATTTTTTTACCTCTGTTATTTTTTGTTTCGAAAGTAGACAGAATAATTTCGAGGCCCACACGGTAGCAAAAGGAGCTGCGTCTCTGCCGGTGGGCCGCCATGTGTGGCTAGGGGTTTTACCAGACATTGCTTGTATCCCAGACTTGATGATCCTTGAATAAAATCCCTAGTTACCTTCAAAAAAAAAAAGAATAAAACCCTAGCCCCGGCAATAACTACCCACCGCTCCCACTCGCTCCTCCCAGCAGCAGGCGGCGGCGGAGGCCTGCGTTCATTGATCCCCTTTGACCCCGACTCCCACTCCAATTCGATTTCATCTTCCCACCCAACACGGATCGATCGTGCCAATCCCACCCCATAAATCCATCCACACACCCGCCGAGACGAAGCAACGATTTGTGATCCATCCAGCATGAACAAGGCAATCGACTTGGGATCGATTGATGGCCGATTCTTGGAGCTACCCCGACGGCGGCGGCGAAGAGAAGGACATGCAGTGGCCACCGGCTCCTCCCGCCTACGGCTACCCCGACGATGAGCGGCCGCCCTTCGTCCTCATCGATCCATGCGCCTACTTCGCCGACCGCAAGAATGCCACCACCGCCGTCATCGATATGGAGGCCGGGGCCCCCAATCTCAGGGGCCGACTCCAGGTCACCTTCTGCGCCGTCGCCCCGCCGCTCGTCTCCTACTTCTGCGTCCACGCCACCCACATGGACCACACTGAGTTCGCCGTCGCGCCCTACATCCTGGCCACCGAGACCGACGGCGGCCTCGTCCTCCTATGCGTCCCCACCGTCGACCCCGACTATCCGACCGATCACTTGCGTCCCCGAAATTGCCAATACTTCGTCTACGACGCCCTCGCCCGCAAACTTCACCAACTCCCGCAACCCGGCTTCCAACACCGACTCAGCCAGCGCTCGCTCGCCATCATGCGCAAGCCCAACAAAAGCTCCAAAAACACCAGCAACCACGTCAGCCTACGCCCCCATGTACATGGAGAGGCCGAGGCCGAGGCCGACTTCGTCGTTGCCGCACAATCCTACATTTTCTGGGGTAAAGAATCTCCTCACATCTGCATCTATGACTCTGCTATCAAGACCTGGAGCAACAAGCCGGTGGTAATGGGTTCATCATATCCAGACCACCACCTCCCAAGCAAGACACTCGCCATCGGAGGAATCAATGGCACCGTGGCTTGGGTGGATCTCTGGCACAACATCATCTTCTGTGACGTTCTCGCCAAACGCCCCAAGCTTCGCTACCTGAAGCTGCCGTCCGAACCCCGCGACAGGGGTTTCAATCCAAGGTCCGTTCGCGACATTGCCGTCTTTGGCAACACCATCAAGTATGTTGCGATGCTGCTTCGGCCCGACGACACAAGCTCCTCTAAGGTCCCCTCCTGTCGTTGGATGGCCACAGCATGGAGCATCGACAAGAGCCGTCACGCCTCGGCCAAGGATTGGCGCATGGTTTGCAAGCTCGATTCCACCCGTATAATGGTTGATGCAGCTGGTACCGCGGCTTCCTTCCCAACCTTGTCGTCTCTTTGCGGTAGCCTGCCCACACTCAGCCTGCAGAATGATGCCATTGTTTATTTCCTCGCCAAGATTGACTTCAGCCCAAGGCAACGCACAGCTTGGGTGCTTGCTGTTGACATGAAGAACGAGACTGTTGAGCAAGTGGTGGAGTTCCCTGCTGAGAGGACTTATTGTGTAGCCGAGGGCTACGATGCAAGTAGGATCTCCGCATATCTCCAACCCGCTCCAGGTAACTGATACTTCCAACAATACTCCATGCTAAACTACCAGATCAATGCATCTTCTTCTTGGTGAGTGGGGACGGCATCGTCGTATCACACACGTAGATAGTGTGTGTTTTAGGGTGGATAATACGGATTCAACAGAAATAAGATGATATGCTAGGTCATGATACAATACATCTCAAGACAGGTTTGGTGGACACTTGGCACCTCTTGTTTGGGAGGAACTTATTGAGATTTTGAACACATTATATAGATATATAGCAATGAGATGGGAGCTGATATAAGTCCAGTGATTTGGGGATGCTAACGGTGAAACCCTAACCAGAACAACCACACTTCTCCTGCGACATGTAATTTATTTATAGGGCGTGAGCGTTGCATGCTTATCAAGTTTGGTATTTTTTTTTCAGTAGCCTTTTTGCATGGAAATGTAGAATAATGGTTGTATTTGCGCCAATTGTTTGTCGATCAGTTTTTCTTTCCCAAACTATTGCTGAAGAAATGTGGAATTTGATATGCCAGGTAGGAAGCAAATACATAAACGACCAGGGGTGTCGTTGCTGAAATCACCTAGCAAGAAGCATACTGGAGATGTTGACGCCATGGTGGAGTGATGTTGATTGGAAGCTGAGACTATATATGGTAATTCATATGGCATGATGTTGCATGGAAGCTTGTATGATCTGAAAATAGTCTAGGGTATGTATGCCCCTTGTTTTGCCTGTCTTCTAACCCTGTTCGAGGTCACTTCTGTGCCATGGCCCGCGCTCGTCTCGTACTTCTGCATCCCGAACTACTACTAGCAGGGTAGAGGCGCAGTAGTGTGCTCCAGTGCCCTTGTTGGTTTAGCTTATCCCGTTGTTGTTGCTGTTTTTTTTGTCTGGAAAGTCAAGTAAAAGCAGTGTAATAGACAGTGGCAGATGAATGGAGAAGTATAATTGGAAGTGTGTTGGCTTCTTTTGTTTGGAAGCTGACTCTGTTTACTGTAATTCACTAATTCATATGGCATAATGTTGCACCGAAGTTGTATTGTAGACAGATAATTTGCAATACAATATATTGATTGGGGTGCTGGTGCACGCATATATAATACAAGGGAAGACCTCTACCTCAACTATACAAGACTAGGAGGTGGGCCACAACTCCAATACACGTGCAATACAAAATATATACTCAACACCCCCCACAGTCGAAGCGTCGCTGGAGATACAGAGACTGGACCGAAACTCCTCGAAGACGGGAGTAGGCAATCCCTTAGTCATCACATCAGCAAACTGTTGCGTCGTCGGCACGTGGAGAACCCGAACACGGCCAAGGGCAACCTCCTCGCGCATGAAGTGAATATCAAGCTCAATATGCTTCGTTCGTCGATGGTGCACTGGGTTGGCGGAGAGGTAGACCGCGCTGACGTTGTCGCAGTAGACAAGAGTGGCCTTGTGAACATCACAAAGCAACTCCTGGAGCAACTGACGTATCCAAGAGCACTCGGCCACGACATTAGCCATGGCGCGATACTCTGCCTCAGCGCTGGAGCGGGAGACCGTGGGCTGCCGCTTCGATGACCAAGAGATCAACGAGGGCCCAAGGTAAACGCAATAGCCTGACATAGAGCGTCGTGTGTCGGGGCAGCCAGCCCAGTCAGCATCCGAGTAGGCCACGAGGTCGGTGGAGGCGGAGGCCGTCAGGGTGAGTCCCAAGGACATGGTGCCGCGTATGTAACGGAGAATACGCTTCACCAAAGTCCAGTGAGAGTCACGCGGTGCGTGCATATGGAGGCACACCTGCTGAACAGCGTACTGCAGGTTGGGGCGAGTCAGCGTCAAGTACTGTAAAGCACGGACTATAGAGCGATAAAACGCTCCATCGAACACGAGAGACCCCTCCAGAGCGGAGACCTTCGCCTTCGTGTCGACGGGGGTGGGCGCCGGCTTGCAATTAAGCATACCGGCACGCTCAAGGAGCTCGTGGGTGTACTTCTGCTGATGCAGAAAGAAACTGTCAGCCCGGCGGATCACCTCGATGCCGAGAAAGTAGTGCAGGGGCCCCAAGTCCTTGAGGGCGAACTCATCACAAAGATGAGCAGTCAGCCGCTCCAGGAGATCGGGGGAGGACGCCGTGAGGATGATGTCGTCAACGTAGAGCAGAAGATATGCAGTGTCTGCTCCCTGATGATACACAAAGAGTGAGGCATCGAAGCGAGTGGACCGAAAGCCCAGAGACTGCGGGAAGGCTGCGATACGTTGGTACCAAGCCCTAGGCGCCTGCTTCAACCTGTAGAGAGAGCGGGAGAGCAAGCACACGAAGTCGAGGTGCTCGGTGTCGACGAAACCAATAGGCTGCTCACAGAACACCTGCTCGGCGAGATGACCGTGCAAGAAGACGTTGGAAACGTCCAACTGATGCACATGTCAGGAGCACGAGATGGCCAGCTGAAGGACGGCGCGGATCGTGCCCGGTTTCACAACCGGGGCGAAGGTGTCGGTGAAGTCCACGCCCGCGCGTTGCCGAAAGCCATGAACCACCCATCGAGCCTTCTAGCGCTCGAGAGAATCGTCCGGGCGAGTCTTGTGGCGAAACACCCACTTGCCAAAGATGATGTTGGCACAAGGGGGTCGCGGAACAAGCTGCCACGTGCGGTTGCGCTGTAGGGCGTCAGACTCCTCCTGCATCGCAGCCAGCCAATGGGGATCCCGAAGGGCGGCACGAGCGGAGGTGGGGATGGGTGATGGCGTTGATGTCGAGGCAGCGCACGTATACTCGTTGGAGGAGTAGCGCGTGCTCGGCCGATGCACTCCTGCACGAGCACGGGTGACCGGGCCGGCGAGGGCGGCAGGTGCCGCGGCAGCGGGGGCCACAGCGGTGTCGGGGGCCACGGCCACAACAGGGGCGCCTGCGGCGGCGGGGGCCGCGGCCACAACAGGGGCGCCCGCGGCGTCAGGGGCGGGGGCCGCGGCGTCAGGAGCCGCGACGGTGCCAGCCGAGCCAGCCGCGGAGGAGGCAACGGGCGAGGTCGAGGTCGAGCCCGTCGCAGGGGTGGCGGGTGGGGTGCCCGCGGGCTCGACCTCAGGTGAGGGAGCCGGGGACCCGGGGGCCTGGTAGGACTCAACCTCGAGTGAGGGAGTCGAGAACCCGGGAGGGGCGGCAGAAGGCGTCGGGCTGGGGGGGCCGCCGAGGGGTGCCGCCCCGCATCGCGCCAGGTAGGGGCGCGGGGTCCGGAGCCGAAGGAGCCGCGGCCTGAGGAACCTAAAAAAAGGGAACACCGTCTCGACGAAGTACACATGCCTCGAGGTGTACACACGATGAGTGACAGGATCATAGCACCGGTAACCTTTGGTGTTGGGAGGGTCGCCAAGGAAGATGCATGGGACGGAGCGGGGTGCAAGCTTGTGTGGCGTGGTGGATGCGGTGCTGGGATAACAGAGACACCCAAATATGCGAAGACCATCATAGGACGGTGGTGTACCGAAAAGAAGGTGGTGAGGGGCGTAGTTCCACCGGGGACGACATAGACGAATGTTGACTAAGAGAGAGGCGGTGGCGAGGGCATCGGGCCAGAACCGAGCGGGCACGTTAGCGTGAAAGAGCAACGTGCGAACGCAGTCATTAAGAGTGCGGAGAATGCGCTCGGCGCGGCCGTTCTGCTATGAAGTGTAGGGGCAAGCTAGACGGAAGGTGGTGCCGTGAGAGGCGAGAAGTGAGCGAAGAGCGACGTTATCAAACTCTTTTCCGTTATCAGTTTGGAGTGCAAGTATGGGGCGACCAAACTGAGTGGTGACATAGGAATAAAAGATGGTGAGTGTGGCTAAAGCATTGGATTTACGACGAAGAGGAAAAGTCCACACATAATGAGAGTAATCATCTAAAATCACCAAATAGTATAGATAGCCCGTGTTACTCGCAATGGGAGACGTCCAAACATCACTATGAATCAACTGAAACGGAAAAGTGGAAACTGAAGTAGACGCACTAAAGGAAAGACGCACGTGCTTGCCCAAACGACAAGCCTCACAAGTATGCTCGTCGAGCTTATTACATGAGAAAGAAAAACTTCTAAGAATCTGACGCAAAACAGCGGGGTTGGGGTGGCCCAAGCGAGCATGCCAAAGGTCGACACCGGCGGAGAGAGCGACGGGTGTGGAAGTGGAGGCGCCGGCGTGCACGGGATAAAGCTCGTCAGGGCTATCACATTGGTGAAGCACCATCCGGGTACGGGCGTCCTTCACAGAAAAACCAACACCGTCAAATTCAACAATAAGGGGATTCTCACGAGTAAGACGACGAACAGAGACTAAGCTAGTGACTAAGTCAGGTGAAACAAGAACGTTAGACATAGTGATAGGTGTGGAACTAGAAGGAAAACTAGTGCTACAGACATGGGTGATGGGTAAAGAGGAACCGTTGCCTACGGTGATGCGAGTGGGAGTGTGAACGGGAGTGGAGGAGGAAAGGTTACCGAGATGAGCTGTCATGTGCGCAGTAGCACCCGAGTCCATGTACCAGTCGCCTCCACCGCCATAGTTGCTCGGCGACGGCGCCGAGTGTAGGGCGGCCAGGAGGGCTGGGTCCCACGGTGCAGGTGCCGGCGGCGGCAGCTGGCCTTCATAGGGCGGTGCCTGGGCGGGCGCGCCGTAGCCACCGAGGGGTGGCGGCGCGAGTGGGGCACCGTAGGGCTGGTAGGGGGCGCCGACGAACGCCTGGTAGCCCGCTGGACGGGGGCCAAGGAGACCCGGTGCAAGAGCCCGCGGGACGGGCATGTGATAGGCGTGGACGACGCCCGTCCACGGGTTCTGCCCGGCAGCCCACAGTGGAGGCGGCTGCTGGAAGTGGGGCGCCCTCCTGCGCCCCGCGCCTGCTGCTGCTGCGGCTGCTGCTGGCGGCGGCCCCCGCCACCCCGCCGGTTGCGTCGGCCCCCGCCACCTTGCGACTGCTGGGGAGGCGCTAGGGGCGTGGGCGGCAGCGGGTAGTAGCTGGCGGGTGCCGGCGGCGCGGACTGGCGGGGGGCGGCTGGAGGAGCAGGGCCGCCGCGGGTGGTACCTGCGGCGAGAGCAGTGTGCTGGACCCGCTGCTTCAGCTTTGTCATCCGGCGCTCCTCAAGCTTGAGGTACGCGACGACGCGCTGGAAAGTGGGTTGCGGCAGCAAGGTGAGGTTGGACGCCGCGTTGCCGAAGTCCTCATTAAGCCCGGCGGTGAGGGTGCTCAGCATGAGGTCGTCAGAGACCTTAGCGCCGATGTCGCGAAGCTCGTCGGCGAGCATCTTGAGCCTCATGCAGTACTCGTCGATGGTGGAGTTGTCCTGGTGACAGCCGAAGAACTCCTGCTGCAAAAAAAAAGGCGCTGGAGTTTGTTGTCGGTGAAGAGCGCGTTGATCTTGACCCAGACGGTGCAGGCATCGTCGTCCTCGGCGACGACCGTGTGGAAGATGTCCTTCAAGACCGTCTGATAGAACCAACGGATGATCGTGGCCTCGATGGCGGACCACTTCGGGTCGCCGCGCATGTACGCGCTGTCCACGGAACCGTCGATATGCTCGGTGAGATAGTACTCGCGGAAGACAAGGTAGAAGTAGGTTACGACATGCTGGAGCTGTCGAGACGGATGGGAACCCGGGCCTCCA